ATACCCCTGCTCCCTGAGCTACCCAAAAACGTAAAAACCTCGAATGTCGGTAGAGCCATGCAGATGCAGGCTGAGGTACTACATTCAGGTGATGACCCTGTGCTGGAAGGAAGCTGCTTTGCTTCTTTCACCTTACATGGCACCTGCCTCCCAGACTCAGGAAGCAATGAAGAAAAACAGGACTTTTGCATTTCATATACTTGTAGGACATGGGGTGAAACCTACCCCACAGCATTCCCTGCCGTGGCATTCGGCCTGCTCCTGGAGTGCAGCACCCAGCAAGGGCTCTGCCGGCTTGGGCAAGAATGTCATTATTCACGTGCCAACCTGGTGACAAACCAAAACAAAAACTTACCATCTGATTACAAATGAAAACACTGTTGCAGAATCAGGGAAGAGCAGGCAAGGGGAGCGGGAGAGCTCAGGTGACTTTCCTTGCCTGGGCTGCTGACGTAGAGCACGACTCATTGTAACAACTTTTTCTATTCCACGCAGTGCAAGTCACAACGTCTGTTGTTCGGGTTGTCCAACCCTTCCAAAGTTAAGACCTGCTGAGAGTGTCAATAACTTTGCCAAAGTTGAACTGTTTGAGCTGACATTTCCATGCTGGGTTCTTGCCTCAGCCTGACTGTTTTGGGAAGGTTTCACCTACAATGGTCCAGTCATTTCTCAGAGCACAGCTAAGGAAAAATGCATTGTTTGGCCCATACTAGCAACCATTTGATTGGGTTGTTCTGACAGCCCCCGATGCCTAGAACAGATGCTCAAAATTTGGCAGGGGGTGGCCTTCAGATCAGGGATGTGCTTTTTGCAGTTCCTGTGAAAATTCAACCAAACGTGTCCAAGTTCTGAGTCTCTGTCGAATGACCGTGGAATTAGCAACCATTCCATAAGACATGTGCCCAAGGGAACCAGCCTGAGGCCACACAGGAAGCTGTAAATGGCAGTTCTGACCTTTGGCGCGCTTGGCTTTGCAACAGCATGTTCTTTGAACATAGTTTGGGTGCAATATAAAGACGTGTGCCTGGGGTACTGCGAAGCCGCCTGAGGTGTAGCCAGGGGTGGCAATTAGCTTTGAGAAAATCACCAGGCTAGCAAGGAAACTGAGCTGTGAAAACTAACCATTGCACAACAGAGCGAGAGAGACCCACCCAGCCGGCAGGCTCTTTCCAGCCCCAGGAAGGTTGGACGTCTGTGAAAGGACCATGCGTCCACCCCTCTTCCATGGCCAATGAAGGACAGCCTGGATAGGGGACCCCGTCCTTCCCTCTTCCTCCAAGGAAAGTCTCCATGTGCTGGGGCCTTGAGAGAGGGGGGTCTATAATGGGGAGAGGTGGGGCTGGGGGCCCTGTATTAGATCAGGGGGGTGGAAGGGCCATTGCTGACTTTACCTTATAAAGGAGACAAGGGTATTTCGGGCAGTGCATTTCCAGCACCTGGCCAGGCCTCAAGGAAGAGCCTTTGCATGTACAGCCTATTGCATGCATGCCCCAGCTGCTCAAACAAAACACCCCTGTTTGTCTCTGCTCTACAGTAAATACACAGACACCCTGGCAGGCCCAGCCCAGCTCTGCTTTGGGTTTGGCATTCCCTTATGTTGGCAGAGGAGCTGGTAGGAGGAGCATCAGCCACAGAGGTCACGCAAGGGGTCCCATTTCACTGTGAGCTTAAACAAGGAAGGCCCAATGATGGGCCCTGCTTCCCCTTCCTGAGAATAATCCCATGGGCTGCCCCCGGCGGGCTGCAGGTTTGGGTGCTGCACTGTCAACCACATTACTATGTAAATAAAAAGGGGTGTAACCCGTTCTACGCCTGCTCCCCGCCACCTCCCCCTAGAGCTCCAACCAGACATTAAATGCTGGGCCAGGCCAGGCCAGTAGGAAATAACTCTGTCCTGGCTGCAGGGGATGGTCCTGATAGGATCTAGGAGATTTTTGCGATCTCTAGTCCCTATGTCGCCATGGAAACCTGCTTCCACTGTTGCCAGAGGCCCCAGATGTGGATGCCTGACAGAGATCTCAGAAGTGTTTTCCTCCATGTCCCCTGTAGCCAGGAAGCCCTATTGATTTTGCTGAAAACTGGAAAAGCCTACTTTCCACTAAAACCACCTTGGTCACTCTGCATACATGGGCTGTGGTGTCAAGGCAGCGTTGCCCTCTGTGTCCTCTCTCCTCTGGCTTGCCTCTCCTCTCTCATCCAGAGCACTGCTGGCTATTCAGGACAGCTCCCACTCCAATCCCAGCTAGGCGCTGCCTGGTCTTACAGCTCTATGACCACAGCCCCGACTGCTTTATAGCTGGGAGCATCCACTACCCAAAATCCAGGGGCCTGAAAGGAGCCAAATCAGGGATTCAGCATGTAAGAGAGAGAGAGAGAGAAAGAGAGAGAGAGAGAGAGTGTGTGTGTGTGTATGTGTGTGAGCACGCGTGCATGTTTAACAAAACCATGGCTGCTGTGCCCTCATAGGAGACATTGCACTGCTATGCCTCTGATTTATTTATTTATTAAATGTTCTGTCCAGTCATTCCAAACCCTCGTGTCTTTGTCGCAGACAGCCCCTGACCATGGTGTAACCTGGTGCTGTTAGCTTCTGCCCACTCAGCAGAAGTTGTCCTGCCGGTAAGACAGTCATAAAAAGCAGGTGGCAGCTTGTGTGTCACTGTAAATAGCCCCCTGCAACCTACCTCAACCATCCAGCTCCAGCACTAAGGGCTGGAAGAAGCAGGAGAGGGCTGGGGTAGGGAGGGGCAAGAAGAAGGAGGGGACAGGAGAGCTGGGTCTACAAAGGGAAGGATGGGCGTGTTCTGAGGGCACCCAGCCCCTTACCTGCCCATTGTCCATGTTCATCTCTCCATTGGCTACTCCAGTTCCTGTCTCTCAGCTGGTCCCCACGGCAGCCACTGGGCCCTCATGGAGGTCTGGGCTGCTGGACCCAGGGCACAGGAGAGGCACCTGCCAAGTGTCCCTGGCTCAGCAGGTGAGGTACCTCTGGGATTTGGGCACTAACAGCTCCAACAGGAGGGCCCAGACCATGGGCTGCAAATTCTTCACGACTGGGACCCCTGCCCTCTCTTCGCACTGAGCCTGCCATCTAGCAGCATTGCTTGCATGGGTGCCATGGCAGACTCGACAGGGAGCCTCACTCACTAGGCCCTGTGCTGCTCCTCGTACGCTCAGCAGTCGTTGGAGGAAGCAGCAGCGCTGGCGCCGGCCCTGAGCAGGATGTGGAGGCGTGGGCCAAACTAGTTGGGGAGCGTGCAGACGTGTATCCCTGTGTCCGTTCTCACCCTGTACCCCATCCAGCCATGTTTCTGGGCTCCACTAGAAACACCCCCTCTCCCGCCCCGCCGAGCTGCTGATGTCCAAATGCCCATGCAAATCCCACACTGAGCTCAACCTGCAGCTTCTGGTGGTTGTCAGGGAGGGGCAATGCTAACTTTGTGAATCTGGATTTAACCCTTCCTGACCATAGACTCTGCATTCATTAGCCACACTCACAGATCCAAACCCATTCGCACCAATAGAAAGGAACCATGTGCTTCGGCTCAACCGTGGAGGGCGGGGATAGGAGCCATAAAGCGGCCATGTTAGCCACCCTGGGGTAAAGCTGACCTAAAAGGGATTTCCCCATCTCCAATCCTTGTCATTAGATCCCATGTACCACCAGCTGGTCATTCCTAGCAAGGTTCTCTCTCATTTTTTCCATCCATGTGTGGAATAAATTTTGATATATGCACCAGAATATGTGTGGATGTGCACCACCAGTGGAAATACACCCTGCCCCTTGGTCACCCCTCTAACATCAGATGATAGTGGGGGTATAGACATCTCACAGGGTATGTCTACACTACCCCCCTAGTTCGAACTAGGGGGGGTAATGTAGTCATACGGAGTTGCAAATGAAGCTCGGGATTTGAATTTCCCGG